ATATAGTGCATGTGAACGTAATAAAATGACAGTACTTTTACCTGTTCCTGCAGAATGTAAACAAGCTCTTGGCATGAAAAGTGGTGACATCTATGACAGGCAAATCACTGCCTCTTCAGAATGGGATTCCAACCATGCTGCCATCCAGGGCAGACTCTTCTTTTTGGCAGGTTCCGGCAAACAAGGATCATGGTCAGCTAGACACAATAACCTCGACCAGTGGCTGCAGATTGACTTACTTGATCAAATAACTAAAGTAACCGCTGTGTCAACACAAGGCAGAAATGGTGTCTCACAATGGGTGACCAAGTACAAACTGCAGTACAGCGTCGATGGTGTAAACTTTCAATACTATACTGAAGTGGGAGAAAAGGTGATATTCCCTATCATTGCATATCATTCTCAGCGGTTTCAAGGCAAAACTTAAGCCACTGTTCACACTTAGACACTAATTATTTTTTAATTAACGGAGCTGTGTCACGAAATTTATCAAAATTTAAAAGTGAGAGCTGCCACCAAATTGAGTGAAAGAAAAAAATGACATCACAAAACATTAAAAGAACCTGAGGCGCAAATAACACAGCAAATATTAAAGAAAGCACCGAAATGGATCACAACAAAAAGGGATTTTAATCGGCGTTTTTTAGAACTCGTTAGCCTAACAGTTCAAAGTTCATTTCTGTTGTTTGTATAGATTTTGAAAAAATGCTTTACGAAGTACATTTAATTGTCTAAGTTGAGTTCCTTAGCGAATAAAGACGCGTTGACGATATTGAAAATGTTCATTTAATGCAATAGACAGCTTTGGCAAAGTCCCTTTAACGATACCTGCCTCTGAAGGACCTCAACTCTTCTTAGTTTGCAACCACGTGACAAGGCGGCCATGTTAGATGACAATACAATAGAATTTTTTCTGAAAGAATTTACATAAAAATAGAGTTAAATTCCCAGAAGAGAGAAATGCTTTTGTTCTTGTTATTCAACGTGGCTGCCTTGACGTTACGTACAAACCAGCAATTGCATCTTGTTGATTTAGGAGTTTACTGGAAATGCCGACCGGGACTCTGTTGTTTTCCACTCACTAATCAACCCAATCACTGGGGCACGCTACATCCGTTTCCGCCCAACAGCCTGGTATGGTCACATATCCATGAGGGTGGAAGTCTACGGCTGTAAAGGTACAGACCAATTGTCTCTGAAATTCTTTTACAGGCGGCACTTGTCGTAATGATGATGTTAGTAGCATGGTGGGGCCCGGTTACTCTTTTTCTGGGCAGGAATGCGTAAACACCGTTGACGTCATAGCCTTTTCTCTTTATGTCAAGAATAACATCTCATGAATGAAATTAGAAGGAATCTCATTATTTCCCATCTTTTGTATTCCAAGAGTTATTCTTAATGCAATTCTGTGCTTTCACTCACGTGGCCAGCATCTATGCAAATTTATAGTAACAAAAGAGAGCGTTTGCATAAGAAAAGAGTTCAACTCCCACAGGACTGGCTTGGGACACAAACATGGCCGCCGTTTCATTGTTTTGGGACACAAATATGGCCGCCACAACGTCATCTGAAAACACACAACTGAAACCTTAGACTCCCGTAGCGTTGTCCGGATTTAACTTGTTTGACATGCAGGTTTGATAGGTTTTTAGTTATTTTTAGATAGATGATGACATAGTTTATTTTAAATTATGTCAGTCATACCCATATTTGGGTATGAAGCCACCCGTGACTTACAATTCCTTAGCCTTAACGTAATTATACACATTCTATGTCCTGTTGCTTTCATTGTCTCAATTGTTAAAGTTTCGGTTCACTGATTCTTGGCGCACAAATCGTGCATATTAAATGAGCACGAAGGCAAACTATCTCTTTCTGTCACCAAAAACGATCTTTCTTTATTTTCCCTCCTCCCTTTTTGCATCTCTACATTTCTATTGTTTCCCCTCCACCACCACTACATTTCTTTTGTTTTGACGTTCGGTGTTAATGTATTCCTGCACTTCTCAATGAGATTCTTGAAAAAAAAAGGAGTAACCGGTTCCTATCATATTACTCATGTTTTAATTCTATTGCTTATAGATATAAACGTTTTATAAAAATCACTAGCGAGGCAAAATCCTCATACGCACAGGTTGAAAGCCGCTATAAATGATTTTGGGAACGACAAATACTAATTCCTATAGTTTTAACAAACTTTTGACTTCTGTGCAATCTGCTTCATCTCTATACTTGTATACAGTCCCTCTGTTAACTAATTTACTACTGCTGACATACAAATGATTGTAATTGGCGTCTCTAGGTCACTAACTCTAAGTTATAGCACTCCTAGCAATAACAGCAAACGTCCTTAACACAATGAATGCCTAGTTTGTTCAGTTGGCAGATCAAAATACACGAATAATGTTACCCTCGCGAACCCGGCGTTTCTTTTAAATTTTGTCTTCCTTACGACCATGCATTACATGATCTACTTTGGTAAAATAAAACAAACAAACTTAAGATACATAATTCGTAATATTCAAGAACTTTCTAACAAGAGACGTAGTCTTTACTATATGTGGTGCGCTTTATGGAGTGTTGGTTATGCCATCCCTTTTTTGACATCAAGTGTTCGTTTTATCAATCTTTACTTACCAGAAGCACTGCACTGGATAGAGTACTGACATTAATGTCTCTGTTTTGTAGAAACCGACACCTGTTGATGGCTGAATAGCAGTGGTGGGAAAAGGTGAATATTCGTAAAGTGAAAGAGCGTC